CTTACTGCGTGTTTTAGCAGAACATTATCTTACAAGATGAGATTAGAAAGACTTTATTGATCCCACACTGAGGAAATGTGTTTGTTATTGAGCTCAAGATGCAGCACAACTAAAAACAGAAGAAAATACACATTAAATTAAAATAATAAAACGATTAGCTTACAACTATCCTGTATATATGGCATCTGTTTCTAACCCTGATAATGACATAATAAAATAATAATAACAGACATTTTGGGGTAAAAATAACTGTTCGATTTTAAATATTTTTGTAAACAGAGATCTGAAATCTAAATCTGAAATTCGGACATCGGATATCGTGAGACGAACGCTCTCTGTAGTTCCCATCACAGATAGAGAATACAGAGTCGATGGCTCCGTTAATATGGCAGCAGGAGTGGAAGAACAGGCCGGTCCACACAGGATACGTGTGATTAAGGGTGATAAGATTTATCTGCGGTGCCAGTTACACAGATGGGGTTACAGAAATAAGCTGCTGCCTGGCTACAAGATATGTTCTGATTGACGTAGAGACAATTTTGGTGTGTCCCAAAACAAATAGCCTGAAGTAGAAACTGTATGAGGCTCCTGTGCGCGGAGATAAAACAGGATATAAGTGTGTGTTTGTGTCATTTCTGACAGGAATTAGGGATTGTATGCAAATTAAAACGGTTGAAATGTGGGAAATCAATCTTAAAGAACAGACATATTGAATTTCTAATGAACAATATCATAACAAAATAGTATATACATAAACTCTACACACTTATATCTGAATATTATCAACTTAAATATTATTTTAATGGATCAACTTTGGTTAATTATGGTTAAATGTACTTTATGTAAAGTGAAAAATATCCTTTATGAGGAGGTGTGATTCAGCTTTGGGCAGGAAATCTAACTTTAATTGTCGAGTTTGTCACTTCCACATGTTATAAATAAAGGTTTAAGTGTCAGATTCTCCTACATCTTTTAAAAGTATTTATGAAAGGTGTTTTTAATCATTTCTTCTTTCTTTCTTCCTCTAATATCTTAAAATATAACATTAAAAGAGGCAACACATAAAGAATTTAAGACAGTGTAATATAATTTAAATCTTAATATATTAAAAATAATAATTATTATGGTAGCCACATTAAAAGTTAAATTACACATTACTGAATACAAACTATAATGTGATTTAACTCAATTTTATATATACACCTATATCTTAACTAAAAAAAGCTTTATTTATTATTTTAAGTGACACTAACTTGTAAGTTACAGAAATATTCCTCATTAAGTACTTTTTACTAGATATTTTGTTTTCACTATTCAAATAAAAATTACAAAATTAAGTCAGTTTAACTTAAAATTTCTAAACATCCTTAATCAAGAACTTATAAAATGTAATTAGTTTTAGTTAAAATGTTCAGTTACTAATTCTTTTTTAGTTAAATGAACTTATCTGGTTTAACAGTGAATAATACATCATTTATATTCCACTTTCTAATGATTATTTTAGAATATTATACTTTTTTTTTTACTTCATTGCAAGTTACGTCGCAGCTTCAGACATAAACAAAACATATAATCAACAAACAAAACAAAGTTATTATAGATAAACGTTATTGATTTTGGTGCTTTGAGCACATTTTGATGCCAATACTTTCACTTTCACCCCCTCAGTTGTGTTCATTCCTGCTCTTTCTGCCCTGCACTCACCTGAGCTTCCCCACCGACCTCCCCACCTGCACCTCGTCCCCTCGTCAGCAGAGAGTCATCATTCCTCCCCCAGTTCGTTAAACTCTGCCACCTGGCTTATGACCAAATAACACTATTGCTAATATATGGATTTAATTTAAGATAAAAAATTACGAACTGAAAGCTCAGAAATATTTCCATTAAGTCGACCTGATAACAGTATTTATTTGAGCTTCCTGCTGTGTGTGATGTTGTACTTTTTTTTTTTATACTTTTATCAATGAAATAATCTTAATATTGGTTAAATTCACATTTTTACTTCTCTTTAACTTAAGTGGAAACAGTTTAAACATTCAGCCAAAACAAAGAAAGATGAGAAGAAAAACAGTATTAGCGTAAATCCGGTTTAATAAATATATATATGTATATAAATATTATTATAAATGCATTACGTTTACTTAATGGGGAGCTTCTACACACAGAATTTATTCTGTCAACTAAAGTCTATACTTACCTTCAGTTTGTTTCCTTCATTTAAATATATAATATGTTACATTTCTGCAATAAAAACTAATAAACTCTATGTTCTATATGTAGTTGAGTTCTTCCATTATCCCAAATGTTTCCAACAATGTTCAAACTCAGAGAAATCTGTCATTTTATTCAGGTAACGCTGCGTTTCACCGGTCGCCTGTCGGTGGCGTCATATCCCCTTTGTGCCTGTGTCAGAGTTGTGGTTGTGGTTGTACATTGACTGTTTATCCAGTCTGAAGCCACATTGTTGCCATCCACTGTTTAGATCTTGGTGCTTTTTAACTCTAGATTTGAACCGGATGAAGGATTTTAGTCATCGGACGTCTGGATCTTAAGTTATCAGAGAAACAAGCTGAGCTAACGTTAGCAGCAGCTCGGCTCGCAGCCCCTCCGGGACGTCCTTTGTCTGTCCAACAGCGTGGGAGAAGCAGTGATTGTTAAGGTGGAACTGCTTTATTCAGTGTTTATAGAGGTTTTAATCAGCGGGTCTGTTTGTTTTGGAGAGGAGGAGACCTCTGTGGATCACTGGGCTCCCGGTAGAAACCTCCTGAACCATGAACACTGAAGGAATCCTAACCGGGAGAAGCTGACTGCAATGATGGTGAAGACAACAACTCCCATGATCCCACGCTGCTTCACAATGTCATCAAACTTCCTCTTTTGTTATTGTTTTGATATGAGAGACCCCCTAGACTTTTTTTCCCCACAACACAACTTCCCTTTTTCAGAGCTTCCTGCTCGAGCCCCTGAAAAGGGACAGGAAATGGGACAAGGAAAGCTTAAAATTCCCTAATTATCTTTGCAGGAAGTAAAATGAGCTCTAGGAGAAGTTATGACTTCCTTCTTGAGGACTGTGAGTTGTCTTTCCTCAACTGTGGACCAAATTCAAACATTAAAACCTCTCTGGGACAAACACCTGTGTCAACATCCTGCTGCTGGATGAATTAACATAAATACAACTGGTATCAAGGTACCAACAGAAGTCTGAAACGAGCAGATTAGAGGAGGGAATATCGCAGAGGGAAAACTCAAATAATCCATCGTTGTCTGTGAAGTTTCTTTCTTCACACATAAATAAATAAAAACTCCTCCAGTCATCCTCTCACACACGCCAATGTGTTTTCTGCTTGACTCACTGAAATGATAAATTGTGCTCTTTTCCAGCTTTACATAATGAAATTCACTTGCAACTGGATGAGAGCACAAGCATCTCAGACCAAAACAATGGCACAGAAATAAGATAAAACTCACCGAAACTGTCTTTGTTAGTCTTTCCAACAATCACTGATGCGGGTTTGGCCAAAATAAACCTTTAATTCACTGAGTTAGATGTGAAAATATTATAAATGTAAACTAAGGTCCACTAAAAGTTGTTGTTTCTGCCACTGACAGACTCAGGTTGTTATTCTCAGTGTCTGATAGCATTATTGAAAGGATCCCCACAGAGATAGACCTTTAGTTTAACCACAAACAGACGTAATATCACTATCACTTTCCACCAGACTGGACAGAAACAGAATAAAAGCGTCTCTGTTAGTGTTTCCAACAATCATCAACTCTGGTTTGGTGGAAATAAATCCTTAATTCACCGACATAGATGATAAAAACAGCGGTTTCAGTCGGAGCAGAAAATGATTTTCTGATCACCATCAGATGTGTAACTAGTCTGTGGCCTATATAAAACACCAGTGCATGTGTCTCATCATGATTGTTGATCTTGAAGAAGGCCGAAACATCATCAGCTACATAAAAAAGAAAAGCACATGATGGAGTCTTCAACACTTTCTTCCTGCTCTTAAGGTTAATCAGTTAATCATCAGGGTTTATATAATCTAAGGCCGTGTAATATTTAGGGAAAATCAAAAAGCAAATTTAAAAAAAAAATAGAGGACCTAGTATTGAACCTTGGGGGACGCCAAAATTAACTCTAAAGCAGGCAGAAGACTTTATCATTAGAGTACAATAGTGCAATTAATCCAGTTCATAACCACCTTAATTTCTACATTTCTATGCTCAAACTTGTGGATATACTGTACACTTTAATACTTTACAAACTTAAAGCAAAAACATATATATAGAGAAACATTGCAATTATAAATCTGGGGTAGTAAATTGTCACAAATGAAAATACAAATTCAAAGCTCCAGAAAAAGCTATTTTATCTTGTATTTTAAAAGCATACTATGCAGTTTTCCGGCTACCCCGAGAGTCGCTGTGGAGTACTTGTATTTAACGTTAACTGTCGTAAATACCACTCACCAGAGCTGTCTCCATATACGGCTCTGCGTCTCTGCACTCACGGCCTGATCCCCTCCCCCGTATACCGGTACATGTTCAGTAGGATGGAAGCGTCGGACATCCAACAGGCAAAGATAGACTCTGAAGATGTCTACTGACCAGGTAATGTCTGAGTGAATGCCTGCTAATGTCTTCCAATGAGGCTGCTTCTTATATCGCTGATGTATGTGACGTCGCGCCGTAAAGCAATTCGTGATTCTCGCAAGATTTGGCGGGACGCCACCTTTCAGACTTGCATTGCTGCTTCTGCCAGCAGCGTCCCTCCCCAGCTTTGCTATCGGGATGATTCGCTATACTACAAATTCATTTACCATCGAAATTACTTTGAAGCTGTTATATTAAGGCAAAAATCTTGCATAGTAAGCCTTTAAGATTAGTATGTCAAACTACTTAATTTCCAGGATCAAGAATGAACTTTCACACTCAATCCTAAATGTCCATTATTCTCATCAACAGTTTAAATAATTAAAAACACAAAGACTTCATCCTCTCAAAAAAACGAAATTTAATCAAAACAAAATGTTGATTCATTAACAAGTTTATAAAACAGTGATTTTTTAGTTACATAAATAAATTGATCAGTGTATCAAATCTTAGTTTCAACTTCATGAGCATGTTGACATGGTTGTACAATCATTTTTACCTAACGTAATAAATAAAAAAAGGGAGCATATTTTCTAAAACAAAAAAAAGGAGCTTACTAACAAACCTCTAATGAGGGAACGAACAAGAGACGACACTGAAATAACAGATGAAACGAGCTTTTAAAGCACAGAATACAGAGCCAGTTCAGCTAAAAAACCAAAAAATTAAAGACACTAACAGGTTGTAACCAAAGTCGGTCGGGCGTATGAAAAAAGGTTTGGTAGTTAGAACTCCCATTTGGTTATTTTAAAGCATTAAGACAAGGCAAGAAAGAAGGCTGTTCTTGTGTGAGGAATTCTAGAGAGAGAAATTAAAACAAATTGAACTGAAGGAGGAAGAGGAGGAGGAGAAATTAAATAAAAAACAAACACAAAAAAGGCGGAACAGTCGAGACCTACAGTATAGAGCAACTTTCTGTCCTGCACAAAGTCGAGATGTCAGAAGAAGAGGACATTTTTGGGGGCGTTAAAAAACAGAGCTTTGTTTTGTGAGGAGACACGAGGGGCAGATTTCCCTCCACTGGAATATCGCAGCAGTTGCCAGCTCTTATGTCGCCGCTGCTGCTGCCTCCACAGTCGTCTCTTTCTCCGACTCCTACAATCCTCCTCCTGTTTTCAGGAGAATACGCACTTTGCATGTCCACTTCCCGTCTTACAACCGGCCAGTTTTCTGCAGCTCATTACATGTCTGCAGAGCCCGAGCAGCCGGCGCGTTCCTGTACTACTGTTTGAACTGGCCCTTGATGCAATGCAAGGCGTTTTCTTTCGTTTTCTTTCTTTCTTTCTTTCTTTCTTTTTTGTTTTAAAAGTCCTTCTGATATGTTTTTTTAAAATTTTTTCAACTTGTTTCAAAAAACCAAAGTACTGCAGCTTCAAGTATTGTGCCTTACATAGAATATTCTGTCATAAATTAGTTAACATATACATTTTTTTTTCAATATTCAGACATATACTTTCATATATACAGGACAATAAAATGCTTTTGTTCTCTCTTTTGTCTTCTTTTTTTGTCTGCTTTTTTTTTTTCTTTCTTTAGAGAAATCCCTGAGAATGTATGTTGCCAAGTTTTTCCACAAGAGCGAGCGCTGTGACAGTTCTGTGACAAATGTGTCCGTAGAAATTAAACATAACTGAATGTTTGAGACAAACACTGCAAAGCCAAAAACAATCAAGCCTGAAGATGGCGGAAAAGAAAACCCAGGAAATTAATTCTGATGGTGAATTTGGAGGGTTTATCCCCCCGTTTACTTCACAGAGCAGATGAGCGAGGACTCGATGGTGCAAGGTGGTTTTGGGAGGGGGGGAGAGTAAAGCTGGATCCTTTTTAAAAAGAGGTACTTGTCACTTCAGATGGAGTTGCTCCATTTGGTTTAAAGCCGTTTTGTCTTCTCTTTGAGGCTGTGAACGTTAGCTGAGGGAAGTAGGAGGAGTGCAAAGGTGGACATTTTGCCACTGGACAATACAGTATATACTCAGTGTAAAACTCTTACTCTCTCGCTTTCATACATATAAAGGGAAACACACAAACTTCCACGAATTCAACAGTTCTCTCCTTCCGTAATGGTTTTTTATACACATCAATACCAGCTGTTGCTTTTATGGTTTACAGTGTTGTTTTTTTTATCTTCTTCAATTTCAAACTTGTCATTTTTAGGAGAAAATTTACCCTAAAACACATTTCATGTCTCATTCCTATCGTCATGGGCTTTCTATTCCAACACAAAAACAAAAACAAAATCAACCAAGAAGTCCGTCTGTGCTCATGCTTGGTACACAATGGAAAAGGGAAATATTCACTGTGAATAATCACCGCTAATTATTTTCCTTCAGGAAATCGTGTTCATCGTCACATTCGACCCAGCGGTGCCAAATCATAGGAATAAGATTTGCATGAACGTTGTTTTAGGAGGATTTTCACTTCAAGTTAGAAAGGATTAAAACAAAAAAAGAGACTCAAGAAAAAAAAAAAAAGGGCGATTTGATCCTCTTTCAACCAAATCTCTCTCGAACGAGCATCATGAGTTTCTTCTTGCCCTTGTATATCTGTTTCAGGTTGTCTATGAACTGTGTGAACTGGATGTGTCCGTCGTGCGCCATGAGAAACGTCTCTCTGGCTTTGCTGAGGAACTCGATGAACTCGCTGTAGTGGCGCGGGCTGATGTGCGTCAGCCGAGAGTGCGTCGTGTTGATGTAAGCCCCGATCGTGGCGTCCAGTAGCTGCCTGAGTGGAGCCTTGTCCAGAGGCATCAGCTTCCCAGAGTTCCTGCGACTGTGCAGCGCCACCATGCCCGGCGTCGTTAGTGTGCACCGCCGCAAAATGTCCGACAAGACGGTGGCACACTTGACGCTCTTCACCACCAGGGGGATGACGGACGCCAGTTCGTTTTTCCCCAGCGAGTGGCTGAGGGCGCAAGCCCAGAGCACGTCGTTGATCGCCGGGTGTGTGTCTTGGTTGTAGCTGAGGTTCAGGTGAGTCATGGCTAACGTTGCGAGTTTGTACGCCCTCATAGGATAACCACGGTGCTCCATGTAGCGCGCTATTGTAAACAGCTGTGTGTAGTTCATTCCCGTGGCGGCCGCGTCCAGTACAATCTGATAGGCTGTCTCGAAGGCAATGTGGTCCTTCTCGCAGAGTGTCAGCGCCGAGAGGGCACAGTTTTGAGGGTCCTTCATGGCACACTGCAGGGCCAGGGTGCGGGCGGAGTTGGCCAGGTTCTCCTGCTGATGGCAGTCCAGATGCAGGCGGACAATGGTGCTGTTGGACATGACCGTGCTAGCCACGACGCTCGTGGCTTCGGTCGGGGTGAAGAGGGTGAACCAGCTCTGCATGATGCTGTCCAACGCAAACACACCTAGACAGCAAAGAGGAGAAATGTTAGTTTATTTTATTTTTTTTATTGTTTTTAAATGTTGGTGTTCCACAAGGTTTAATCTTAGGTCCTCCTTTTTTCCCCATTTTACAAGCTTCCATTTGGGACGATGTATGACTATAAACCCTGGTGAAATCGTAGTTGCTACCCCCTTTGAAAAAAGTCTGCTCTGACCAACATTAAACATTTCTGATCGATAAAACAATTATTGTATAAAGCGGTACAATGTTTATCACTAAATTAACTAAGACGCTTGTTATTCTTTGTCTTTGTCTGTCATCGAACTCTCAGAGGTTTTACTGCAGTTAATAATTGCACTTAGAAAATTGGAATATTGCATAAAAAACGTGGTTACATTTACATTTTCTACTGCACTTATTCTAATATCATTATTTTAGGACTTGTTAAATTTAAAAGGTCCAGTGTGTAGGAGTTAATGGCATCAAACATCTAGCTTCACCCTCTCCCTGCCAAGTGTGTAGGAGAAACTAAGGTACCCTATCTAGAGCCAGTGTTTGGTTTGTCTGCTCTGGGCTACTGTAGAAACATCGTCCTAAACTGGACCTTTTAAGACAAAATAAAACTCTTACGAACCCCCTGCAGAACTCCAAATTACCCCCATTTGAGAAAACACTGTACTAGAGCACCAAATGTGATTAATATGCTGCTGAAAATAGCCCCCAATGATTGGACAATTTTCTCCTGTTTGCTTTAAAAAATAAAAGTATATATTTTTGAGCCATTTCAGTAGGAACCAAAGAGGCCACAGACAGGTTGGTGTTGTATTTTTTCATGGGATTTGTCGATAATAACAAAAAATCTAAAATCTCACCAGCTTTATCCTTTAAATTCTGCATTAAAAACATTGTTTTTTTTCCTGACACCAACATTATATGCTGCTTTTAGACCCTGAATACACATATTTCTATTTAAGAATATATCTAAAAAGACTCCAGCTGCAGCAACTTCGAGCATCACTGCCCAAACTTTGTATTCGAAACCATTCAATGTTTCCTGGATTCCAACAAACAAACTACGTCATCCGCTCGTACAATGCCCTTTTTGCCGCCTAATTGGATATTCTATTTCTAATTCTCTGACATTATATGGTCTGGCCCCCACTCTACATCACCAACTGGCATGTTCTCAATGAGCCCATTCAAACTGTGCTCACAGGAACAGGGACTCCTTGTCACTCCTCCCCCCCACCCCACCCCACATTCACAAGGAATCATCTGGGAGGAGGGTTTTCCCCCCACAGAGCTCCGTCCCTCTGGACACAGCTTCCTGTCCACTTCAGGGAAATCAGCCACTGGGTTTCAGTATTCAAGTCCAAACACGAGGACCACTTAATCAGCCGAAAGCCCACAATCTTCCATAATTACTACCCTGCCAGTCATTCCTTTCCCCTTTTCTTTCCCCTCCCGCTGAGAGACCTCTGAAATCCACTTTCTTTTTAAAGGTCTTGTGAAGTTTGTCCTGGTTCCCTAAATCCTCCCCCTGAACGGCTAATGTTCAATCATATCTTTAGAGAGATATTTGGGTATCTCAGGAGCCTTGAACCAAAATCACCACATTTACTCGAGTACTGCACTTAAGGGACTTAGTAGTTTGTACTACTTTATACTTTACTACATTCTTTTGACAGCTATAGGAACTAGTTACTCTGCAGATTAAGATTTCACATATAAAAACATACAAGTTTATAAAATATGGTGCATGTTTATAGATTAAATCAGTGGTTTTTACACGTTTTCACGTCAAGGAACCAAAATTAGACCACAGACCCCCATTTTAAAATATAGGAGTTTGCTTTTAGATGTTTTATTACAGAAAATACATGTAACCAATGTCATTATAATACTTATGGATGGAATTATTGTAAAAATAAATGATCAATCAAGGACCCCACTTTGAAAAACACTGCATTAACCTAGCAAATATAAAATAATAAATTGAGCTCCACTTTAAACAGCAACATTAAAATGCTTCTTACATGGTAATGCATCAATAATCATAATAATAAACTATTAAATTAAAACACACAGCACTTTTACATGTTGGTATTCCTACTTAAAGGATGTGAGTAATTCTTCCCGCGGCTCTAGCGTGAGCTGCAACAATCAGCATGCCTGGCTAACTAGTAACTTAACGTTACTCGAAGTATCTTTTAAACCTAAATGTGTTTTATTGTTTTATCTGGTTGAAATTTTCTTTTAAAAACTTGCAGATTTTATGACTTTTTTTTTATGAAGCACTCTGTAACTTGGGTTTTCATAGTGCTCTATAAATAAATAAACAAACAAACAACTCACCAGCCTCAGTAGCACAAGTGACCAGCCATCGCACCATCTCCCTCCTCCGCCAGTTCAAGGTAGACAGCGTCATTCTCATCACCTGAACGAAACACGCCGTTAGCTCGGAATCTGATTTTACATCATGCATCACATACAACACGTGTTTGTGGTGTTGTTGTTGTTTACCTGAAGACCCAGCTCCAGGGAGACTTTGAGCAGCGTGATGTCCGGCAGGCTGTCCATGAGGGTGGCGATTTTGAAGGCATCCTGGGCCAGTTTGAAGATGTGGGATGCGGAGTGGATGTTCTTCTGGATGGACTCTAACACTGTTTCTAGCTTACGAGCATCGCCTGGTAACACAAAACATCGACAGAGAGTCATTCTGAGGCGGGAAATTCACACACAACAAGAGAAAGTTGTTCAGCTCTCAGTAACTGAATCTCTGTGGTTGAGTTTCCCTCCTACGCTTACGTTCATACTTTCAGATATCAGCCTTATTTCATATATATATATTTTGCTGATTGTATTAGAGCTGTATTAAGTTACTGCTGATGCAAACCCAACCTTTCCTGCTGCTGCTGCTTCACAATGAAAACTTTCCACCGAAGAACAAGCAGGAGGCTTTTATTTAGCTTGCTTTTATGATTTCAGTTAAAGAAACGTTGCTGGGACGTAGAATCGCCCTTAAACATCCGATTGCATTTCAATAATGTGCATGATTCCTTAGACCTCTCTTAAACTTATATCTTATCTCCACCTCGTTCTGTAACCCACTGCGTGAATACTCTACTAACCCGCCTACTGATCCATCCAACAATCCGATAACATCCTTTTTGTAATGGTGGAGGAAACTAGTTTACATTCAGCAGCTGGAAATATTCTGATTACTTTGATTTTAACAAACAAAACTGGATTTTAATCGACATAAAGTCAGAATTTGGGTAACTAATAAATAGTAACTAGTAGTCTCACTAATTACTGGCAGTAATATGTAAAGTTATAATCATAGAAAATAGCCCAACACTGTGCATAAATGATAGAAACAGCTCAAATTAACAGATAAACTGGCAAAAAAGTTAATCTAAAATGAATATTTAGTTGAAATAGTCAAGAGTTATGGGTAAATAGTTGAAAAACTTAGCAAAACAAAGTGTATAAATGGTTGAAACATGAAGGAATATGTGTGTGTGTGTGTGTGTGTGTACCTTTAGCAGCAGTGAGCATGGTGGAGGCCAGTTCACACTGTTGGGTCTCTATGTGGCTGAGAGTGAACCAGCGAGGGAGGCGGTTGGGCACCACTGACACTATATGGTGAGGCCGAGACAAGTCACCGGAGGGGGCCGTGGACTCCAGGACCGGCAACCTGAGAACAGACAAACCAAAAAAAACATTATTATTAGTTCTTTATTGCACATAAAAACACAGGAACTGATCTTTCCACTCTCAAGAACATTTCATAAAAGATAAAGAAGTTATCAATGTTCCTTTTATAGCATCAATCAATAGTTTTCCTCCACAGCTAAACTCAGGTGGATCTTTGCCTCCGGCTGAGTTTAAAAATAACAGCTCTCCTGTTCTGTCCTGTTACAACTGCTGCGATGCCGCGTCTCTGTAGTCTTAATATTCCTGCTTTGTAATTCAAGTGCAGGATTAAAATATATAAAGATTTACATATTATTTTAAAAAAAAAAGAATCAAAGGGGTTTAATTTTGGGCGAGAGGAAATAAAGTTTCGTAACACCCGTGGCGGTCAGGGAGGAAACCAACAGACTGTATTTATTATTCACACATTTTTATAAAACGGCGTTGAATTATTTAGTGAATATTCCAGCAAAAGGAGGTTTTGTCATTAAACGGCGCCCCAGATAGCTCCTAAATCTGCCTCTCTGAATCCATCACACACACAAACTGAAAATGAGACTGAGGAGCCAGTTAGTCCAGTACAGGAGAGTAACTCGTCCTCTATTTGCTTCTGATCCTCCTCTCATCAACCGAGGGGGGTCAGGACCTGGACTAGGGGATGCCAAACGTTTCACTAGGGTATTCTTGATTTAGAGGGTGTAAGAAACGTTTTTATTTCTGTGAAGCAAATCCTTAAAAAAAAAGAGTGTTTATCTGCTTCAAATGTCCTCTAACCTTCCTCTGACTGACTGACTTCTGTCCTGATGCCACAGTCTGGCGATCTAGCATGAAAATTCAATCCAGCGTCTGCATTTTATTTTGAAAATCCACCAGCTTCTCTATGGCGTTTCTGTGTCTGACTTCCTGCCAATGCTCAGACGTTTCTGGGAGGCACCACAGTGCAAGGTCCAACGTCTGAAGGAGTTCTTCACGGTTAGACAACAAACTTTACACGAGGTTGGAAGGGCGGGGGGTTTCAACTCACCGCATGGCCCTCAGTGCAATTTTGTACGCCAGTTCGGCGTCATGAGGTAGCAGGGAGGTGAAGAGATACTTGGCAAAAGTGTGCATGGGGACGCTTTCTCTGTAGAGCAACTCCCCCAGACCACTGTAAGGACCAGCTGGAAGAAAGAGAGAAAAAGATGATGATGTTAAAACATGGCGTGCAGTGCAGCTGAATGATACTTCACATATGACTGGACAGTGTGACCTTGTTGTGTGTGAGATTATTTCCTGAGTCTGAGACCTGAACGCACAGACTGATCTGGAACTGCGTGACTCAGCCGGGTATCAGAATGACGATCGCTTTGTTAGTCAGCCACCGAAAAAAATGCACAGAGACGCTGTGAGAGAGCATCACAGAACATCCTGAAACATGTGAGAACTCAAGAGGTAGCGCCAGTTACAGGAATCACAGATGACAGTGGAAAAGCCGTTTTAGTCACTTCCAAAAGTGAAGTGTGTGAAAGGAGTGAATTACACTACTTTTGTTCCCTTTCTTTTAGATAATAATTCAATTAAAGGAAAGCACAGTTATCAGATCTCTAAAGATATCAGACTTTTGAAGGATAAAGCTTTAGAGTTGTTCTACTTTTCTCTGTGTTCTCTTAATTACTTTTTTAATTCACTCTGCAGCACAAAATAGGCAAAATTAATGCCTGAAGTTCTTAGAAACGTTTGGTTGCATGCTAATGGAAGCTACATGAGCAGTTAGTGAATGTCATATTATTTGTTATTATGAATTCTTACATAACGACGACAAAATGATTGGATTTTGATATTAAAATGTTTTTTTTGTTGTCATACATTGTTAAATATGGGCACAATGTAACTGAGGATGCAATCTTAAAAGGGTTTAAAGCAAATAAATTGACTTTTTGATGCATTAGAAAGTATATTATTTCCTCACAAATGTTGCTTGTCATTACAGAGTTGTAAAATGTGGCCTATAATCAAACATCAGAGGCTTCAAAAAGGATAAATATGGTCGTTTTGTAGGATTTGTTGATAATAAGAAACTAGACTTGTCCTTCAAAAAGAGAACAAAAGATAAAAAAAATTTGCCTTGATAGAGATAAAAACAATGACTTCCTCCACTTTATAATCACAACCAGAGTTAGCAGAAGCCATATGTGAGAGGAAGCAGCTCTACCATTACTGGGTTTGATGTGAAAAGGGCCTTGAACCATGCTGAGCCACACACACACACACACACACACACACACACACACTCAATCACACAACGTCAGCAAACACGGGCCGACAATGCAAACAATACACTTGAGTGTAAATGTACAACGAACGTACACACACACACACACACACACACACACACACACACACAGCCACAGATAATTAAAGCAGAAGGGCAGGTTGTGGTTCAAGGTGTGAAAACGTGAACCTTGCTGTGTGTGGACAGTGTGTTGCTCATGGGTTCAGTGAGGGGGCGAGGTGTTAGGGATGGAAACATTTCAAGCTTAGCTTAGCATAAAGACTGGAAAGGGGGGGAAACAGCTCGCCTGGCTCTCACCTAGCAGCACCTCTAAAGCTCACTGAGATATTATAGCTACAAAAATCAATTATAAAACACTATAAGATTCATCTCTTCTCCCTAAAACAATAATTTTAATGCATTCCCTAATTCATATATTATATGTAATCTGTTCATTTAAGTTTTTGGGCGGCATTTAATTATCATTTTTTAGTATCAACTCACAGTTTTGTCTGTACAAACTACAAAATAGTGAAAATGTCCACTCACAATTCAAAAGGTGAAGTCTTCACATTTCTTAATTTTTTCACCTCAAAACCCAAAGATATTAAAATGAATATCATTATCATCATTTATGCTGCAAATTAGCTGCAAAATATCACTTTTGAACACCTTTAAAAGGTATTTTACAAACTGCCCTGAAGGAAACATGCTGCTGATCTTTGACTTCAGGTTGAAGGTGTTCTGGGTGGTATGACCTGTATGTCTCTCTTCTTCCCTTTCTGCTGTTTCCTCTGCGTACAGTGCGTGTTTCAACATGTGAAATTGTGAAACTGCAAAGAAAGAAGAAGCAAATCCTCGTATTCGAGAGTCTGGAACCGGCGAATGTTTTGAGTCGCACTCACCCTCTAGCAGGATGGCAGCTTGTTTCCGGAAGATCTTCACCAACGTGTCGTCCAAATTGACTTCCTGAAGCCTGGCCAATAGCTGCTCTTCGTTGCGACACACTTTCTCCTGGGCGTAAAGGCCGTCTGGCATCACCCTCTGCTGCCCTAAACCAATCAGAGCCGTCTCCACAGCCAGCGACACGAACGTCTCTCCTTCCTCCAGGAAACGCTGCGCCGGGAAAACAGGATGCTCCGTCCTCCTACCTGCACCCGGCGAGCCTGAGGGTGACGTAGAGAGAGAGGGAGAGGGAGGGTGAGGGATGACTTAGGGAGGAAAATGTTTCCTTTGGGCCGTGGATTGACCCCGAGTATTGATAAATCTATTGATCTATTTGTTCGTTCTGGTGTTCTTTTTCAGTGTGTATCCTCTTGAGGATTGTAATCATGTGTTTTAATGGCTTAATGATGTCTTGGCAGACCTCACAGTTCATCCCAGGAGGGTTAACAGTCCCTAATGAATACACACACACACACACACACACACACACACACACACACACACACACATACATATATAGTGCTCGAAGTCTTAATTGAAAACTTTTACAACTTTTTCCACTCGGAGGATTCATCAGTCTGAAGAGAAACAAACGGTAACCGAGGCCAGACGCGGCCGTCCTTTCTGGCTAAAGCGTGTTGAAATTCGTCTAGCTGAGCTCACTGCATAATTAATGCGATTTAATTGGAGTGTTTTTCCTGCCGCATTTCTTATTCATGAGCTGTTATTGGAGGATGACTGGGGGCCAATCAGCACGTCTGTGTCATCACTGCTGATTGCAACCCGAGGGCCCGCAGCTCTGACAGGAAGACGCAATCACTGCAGTGTAAATGTTTGAATCACACACACACACTCAGGAAAATGTGTGTGTTTGTGTGCTGTACGCGTCAGTGGTGGGAGGTACATTTACTCAAGTACTGTACTTAAGTGCTATTTTGAGGGCTTTCACCTGAGTATTCCCATTTTCTGCTACTTTATACTTCTACTCGGCGACACGTCAGAGGGGAAATACTGCACTTTTCACTCTGCTGCAGTGTTTCAGAGCTATAGTTACTTGTTATTCTTTAGATTTTACATTAAATACATGAGATAAGCTTATAAAATAAAAAACATTGTTGGAGATTAAACCGGTTCCCAACTTATTTGGCCCCTTACAAAGGGACTACGGATCAAACTTAGCTTATGAGCTAACTCTTAGCTAACTTAATGTGCATTGTGTAGATAAGTAAGTAAGTAAGTAAATAATTAAGCAGTGTATAGTTGATTTGTTTCAGTTTAATTAAAGGGAGAAAGTTTCATTTAAATACTGCTCAAGGGCCAAAAAGGTGGAATTATCTGATATTTCACACAAATAGCAGAAGATTGGATTTTATTAATCGATCTCACGACCGCTCAGGTTTATTTAGGTTTACTTAAGTATGTGTGTATCAGTACCTGAGAAGTCGAGCAGGGCCGTTGCGCCGTCCTCGCTGCCCCGCCCCGTCTCCATGAGGGTGCTGAACAGCGTGCCGATGGGGTCCAGAGGGTGGCCCACCCAACCCTCCAGGTTGGTGACTGACGTGATGCCTTTATGGAGCAGCTCTGCAGTGACACACACACATACAGACGAGGCGTTTAATATCACACAGAATGATGTTTGATTCTTGTTTTACGGTATTTATTGGTCAAAGCAGCCAGCAGGGCCCTACAATTATTCATTAATACATTTATTGACATTTAGATCCTATTTTTTGTCGGTGGTTCCCAGCTGTATACAACAATGATTCAAAGGACTATAATTAATCAGTTAAACTGACCTGGACCCAGATAACAGGCAGAAAATTGATGGATGAATTAACCAATTAAAAGGATAATTAATTAATTTAAGTTTTTTGCTCAAATTGACACTTCAGGTCTGATTTAATGAGATTTCTGTTCCTGTAGCTGCAGCACTGACAGCTACAGGTCAATGACAGTAAACTACAGCTCTGATGGTTCTGACTGAAACTACCCAAGTATATCAACTTGTATATGATATATAATGTCTACTATGAAACAGTTAATGAAGGTGTTATCAAACTCTATATTCTTTTAAAGTCTTTCATTACTGTTTTTAAGCTCTTAGCACATTTTGATTTACTATTTTATCTCATTTTTGTTGATATTTTCCCCCCTAAAAAAATCTTACGAGGTACTTTCATGAAAGAAAACTCTTATTTTAGACTCTAACTGTAAATTTTAACTTTATTTTCTGAAGCTGACAAAAGGTATTTGAATGTTTATGGCCCAATATTAAACGTTTTGAGTTATTTCTATGCAGTTTTCAATAGTGTATCCAATTTAAGGGGCATAAATACATAAAATATACAAAATGATGCCAACCTGATTCATGTTCTTCTTCTTAATAGAGCTTAAAATGTTTTAGGAACCCAAATACTTAACTTTAAAACATGGGGAAGTAAAAAGCATCATTTTAATGCAAAAAAACAACACTGAACAAAAGCTTGAAGGAGGATAAACTGACCTTTTTTGTGAGCTCGGAAGAACTCCAGCTGTTTCTGCTGTTGCCTCCGCAGGGTGTTCACTATAGCGATGGCCAGTCTGAGTGCTTCCTTGGGGTAACCGTGTGATCTCAGCGCGTCCACCCGGGCGCACGCCGTCGGCACGTGTTCTGCAGGAGAAGAGACGCAAACAGAGAAAAGATATTTTAACGCTCGCCTTCCATTTTTTCCTTCGTCTTCTTCTTCTCATTAATTAAAACCCGTCCTCCCTCCAAACCCCCGTGTCCCTGCTCTCTCACCGTGCCACAGGGGCCACCCTCGGGCGTCGAAGAGGGAGCTGTCGAGGTTGTCATGGTAACAGTAGTTGGTGTAGTGGTCCTCGGTGATGATGTGCTGCAGGTGGGGGTCCTGCCAGTGCAGGTCGCAGGCCTCGATCGCCCGCGTGAACACCGTCCGGTGAGGACGCGTCAGTGAATCTGCCAGAGACGAATGTGAGATGTCAGTGTGTTTTTAAAGCCCACATTGAACCACTGTGACGAGGTAGGGGGGGGGGACGCGGTGGGAGAGACAGGAGGCAAAGATACAGCATGAGGTCATAGACACAGGTGCATGCTGGGGAAGTTAATTATTGTGGTACGGCCCACTGATCCGGCTCCAGCAGCAGCAACTGTGACAAAAGGCTATTACAGTACTGTAAAAAAAACAGCGAAGCATGAACCAAAATTCCTTCTCAGAGTCATAACTCGGTCAAATGTGAACACACACACACACGATACACATATTTTTAGATTCAACGTGTCTTACACTTTCCAAAGATATCATCGTCTTCAATGTCCGTCACAAATAAACGTCCATGAATCCTCTTAGAAGTCACAGAAAAAAGACTTTATAACTCCAGAACCGGCCTTAGAATCATCCTGATTTTAACTATTGTTCTGTATCAAAGTAATCCAGTGATACTTGTGTGTACATCCACGGCTTCTTTGCAAAGAGGAACTGCTAATAGCTGATTCTGCAAACTTTTAATTACGCCAAAATGTAAAGAAATATATGCTAAAAAAAACCCTTAAGTTGTAGCCAACAGTGTAAATCTATGGCAACATTACACTTCCTGTTTACAGATCCCAAATTATAGGAACTGTACTTTAGAAATAAAATAAATAAAAGACAAAGAATAATAATAACAGAAATGACAAATCCATTAATATTAACTTGTTGCACTTTCATTGATTCTGTCTCTTCTTTTGGGGGGGGGGGGGCAGTTGTCTCGGTCTTCACGCTGTCCGACTTTGAAAACCGCCGTCGTAGCGCGACTTCAAAATATCAATAGCACAACAAATACAGGGCCATTACAGTCAGCAGCAGTAATAACGACGCCTGTCTTCTGATTCGAAACAGTTTTATTAGCACCTGATAGAAATGTTCATGTGTTCATGTTTTCTCTGATTTAGTGGAAAAAGCTGCAGGACCTCAACTGTGTTATTAGGCTCATTCTATTAGCCTCACTAAAAAGGTAATAAGGCTTGCAGGCACAGAGATTGAAGGAAGGAGAGTTGATTAAAAGAGAGGGGGGAGGGTGGTGAAAGAAGACTTAACAGCGTTAATACAGCAGCAGAACAGAGGAGGAGGAGGAGGAGGAGGAGGAGGAGGAGAGAAGAGAAAGAAACCTGATGAGAAAAGATGTGATGTAGGAGAGGATTTGGGAATTTAGAAAAAAACTAAAGGGATGGGGGGAGGCGACGTCTCTTCTTCAGGCGGGCGCCATCTCACCTGGGTTTCCAGGAGGGCCCTGGGGCAGAGCGTTGGTCAGATTGGTCAGCTCGCTGCCATGGTTACCGTCCTCCAAGGGGCAGACGTCCACGCTGTTCCACCTGCGAAGCTGTCGAAGCCAGAAACCCTTCTGCTCGGGCTTATAGTGGGGGTTCAGCACGATGCACATCCACAGGGCGCCTGCAGAGACACACACACATTTACATAAGAGATATAAACACACTCACACACACACTCGTAGCCTGCAGCAAAACACTATATATTATTGCTATATCTGTCACCAAATCACCAAAATAGCTTCACTTTCACCTCCTTAAAATAGATGTAGAGTTGAATTATCTTGCGCTGAATGGTGCAACTAACGATTGTTTTCATTATCAGTTAATCTTTTGATCAATAAACTATGAAAAAAAAGTGACAAATGTTTATCGCAGTTTGATTATTTAAGCGACAAACAGTCTGAAACTCAAATTTATTTAATTTTCTCTCACGTGAAACAAGGAAAAGCACCAAATTCTCACATTTAAAAGCTGGAACCATAAAATATTTTGGCATTTTTGCTTGAAAATTGACAAAATTGTTCAATCAACTAATTATTTTCTAATTTTGTTTTTGGTGTAATGATTTCTGCTGAATAAAAACAAATAAAAATGTTACTTTGGAGATGGAAAACCTGTTACAAGTAAAATTACTTGTGATATTTTTAAGTATCAATGCCAACAACTGTCTCAATAATGCAAAACACAAAAATAGTGTCATTATATCATATTTACATCAGCACACACATAAAGAAGTGACGACTTCAAATGTCTTATTTTGTCCGAGTAATAGTAGAAAAACACTGAAAATATTCAGTTTACAGCGATATACAACAAAGACATGCAGGAAATTGTCACATTGGAGAAGCTGCAACCGGATAATAACCGACATTTTTGCTTATAATAGTTGCTGATTAATTTTCTGACTATCGGCCGAGCGACTAATTGTTGCAGCTCCGTGAAGAAAGTGTGCAGAAGTGGTCTGAGATCGGCTGCATTGTCGGCCGCAAACTGTGAAAGACTGTGGATGCAGATTGGGACAGGGAGGCACATAAAGAGAGAGAAAGAGGGGGAACAATGAATAGGTTGAGGGATAAATAAAGGATGACAGATGACAAAATGAAACAGGAGGAGAAAAGAAAGGAAGTGAAGACGGGGAGGAGAGGTGAGGGAAGGGAAGGGAAGTGGGGGGAGGGAGGCTGAGGATGGGGGGAGGGGACAGGAGGAGAGAGGCTTTATCCTCCGTCTCTTTGTTAGGGCTGCTTCAAGGACAACACTGAGGAGGGAAAACAGAGCGCCCAGAAGAGTGATGTCAGACATGAGTGACGAAATGCAGAGCAAGAATCTACAGCGGCGGTGGGGGGGGGGGGGCGGTGGGGGGGTAAAGAAAAACAAAAACAGAGGAGGAAGAAGGTGGCAAAGAGGAGAACTGTTACCTACAGGCGGGTTTTATTCACATCTCAGTTCGGTTACAAGTGAAGCTCTTTTGATCACAAGCAGCGAATATGTTTATTTCTTCAGCCGCCATCGTATCTGTGAAACACCAGGAACCTGAACACGTTTTTATATGTATTTAATCTGCTCTGCTGGTGCTTTTTAATGAGTTTACACAAAGATCTGGGGTCTCTGTTCCTGAGAAGGAAGCGTCATTGTTTAATTTGCCAGTTTATTTTCTTTATTAGGGCTGTCCTATGTCTATAAATCAGAGAAACACTGAAATCAATGGAGGTTAAACTAGTAAAATATTATAAATATTCCTGTGGCAGAAATACAAACCACAAAAATAGTTACTTATCTTCACTTTCAGCTCCTTAAAATAGATGTAAAGTAGAGCTGAATAATGTAAAGTTGATTTATCCAGTGCTGATTAGTGCAACTAATGAGTATTTCCATTATTGATTAATCGTTTCTCACTTTTTTCTCATAGCTTATAGACCAAACATCTATCACAATGTCCTTATTTTGTGCATCCAACAGTCCAAAACCCAAATATAATCTGGAAAAGCAACAAATTCTCACATTTTAAAAGCTGGAACCATAAAATATTTTGCTTGAAAATTAATAAAATAGTTGGATTTAATCAACCAGGTTTATAAAATAGTAAAAAATGGCCCGTTACAGTTTCCATGGTAAACCCAGTAGCAGCAGAGATCCGACACAACCGCACTCAACACGCCACTGAAACAAAAGCCCCGTAAACAAAAAGCCAATTACAGTAATTAATTAATGTAAACTGCGTTAAAGACGTAGAAATAAACAGTCAGCAGAGACAGAAACTCCCTCCAGACAGCGACGGGCCAAAGAAATTAAAGAGGGTTTGTTATTTAATAAAAACATTGAGGAGCAGCTTTTATCTTAATGCAATGCAGAGATATACAACTCTCAAACATACAATGGATTGATTTCAATAAAGTTAATGTACTCACGACTATCGTATCAGGACTCGGGATCAGCAGATATTAAATGACTCTGATCGGAACAGGGGGCTAAAAAAAACCTGATCGGGAATCTCTAGTAATTACCAATACGATACCAATATGTCTGCGGCCAATATATTGATCTCTCTGGTCCACAAATTCAATGTTTGTTGAATTATTTCACTTAAAACCACAAACTTAACGCATTTGGATTTAATGCTTTGACCTGATTATTTAAGGATTCATCGTCTGGGGATCATGAAGGTCTGACAACATTTAATGGCGTGTGTGTGTGTGTGTGTGTATGTGAGTGTGTGTGTGTGTGTGCAGTACCTAGTTCGTCCCACAGCTGCCTGTACTTGTCAGTCATGGTGGTTCCCTGTTGCCTCCACAGCGCCAGTCGGGGGTCGCCCATGAACTGCTCTGTGATCAGCGTTAACATGCGAGCGCCGTTGGAGTCCCTCATCTTCAGCATCTCTCTCACCTGCAGAGAACCGGGTGGCATTGTGGGTAAACCTTGCCGTACAGCCCGCCAGCCGCGGCGCGACATTGATTGGCGTTTTTTGCTGGAAGTGATTCTGTTACCTTGCTGAACAGTAAGTTGAGCTGCTTTCCCGAGCCATGGTACCCGCCCTGGGAGAGAAAGAGCTTGACCTGTTCCTGAACTTGCTCTTCATCCAGATGCCAGCAGTTCTCGTCGTCCACGCTGGCGCCCGCCGTCGGATCCGGAGCTCCTGCAGCCAACAAAGGAAATCAGTCAGCGGCTCATTACAGGAGCTTCATCAGACTAAACTGATGCTGATTTTCATTTATTAGTTTATTACATTTAGTGGAGGAAGAAGCAGAAAGTCCTTGCATTCAAAAACTTACTTAAGTAAATGTCATTAACCAGAAATTCCCATTACATAATAATGTATATTGTATTACTGTATTATAATGATTGATGCATTAATGTTTACATCACTTTAAAGTTAAAAATGTTGGTAAAAATGGGGCAGGTAGGTCACAATAATTAGGTCATATGGATACATTTTATCTGACTTCTCCTGTTGTGTTTACATGCTTGTTTAAATGTAGATTTTCCCAACTATTATATATATATATATATATATATATATATAAATATATATATATATATATATATACACGAATTGAATGCTGCTGCTTCTGTCTTCTTTACAAACTGTTTGGAAAACTCTGGCGATCCAATATGCAAAAGAAAATCATTGTTAAGGTCTGGAACAAAGAACCTGTTCTGAAACCTGTCTGACTCTAGTACTTTACTTCTCTTTATAGACGGAGTAAACCTGATAGGAGTTGCTAGGAGAAGCCACAGATATGGCGGCCCTTCCTCGACTATATCACAGCACTGGGGGTAACCACATGACACCTCAGTGACTTTTATCTTCATTTTAATATTTGTTTGTTGTATAGTATCCAAAAACATAATGGGATTGTATAACCAGAGGAACACAGAAGTCCACCAGTTGTTTTTCTTATTTCTTTCTCCTTATATGTAAAGGGAGGGGTGGGATGAGGCAGGTATTGTTCTGCCGCAATGTTCTGTTGTTTATATTTATTTTTCTCTGTAAAAATGATAAATGAAATATTTATTTGCATTTCCAGCCTTGTGCAGCAGTGAATTATTGCATTCTGAAGGAAACATGTCTCCTTTTCATCTTCCCCTACAGATATGTGGTTAAATACGGCCTCATACATTGCATCATTATGTTATTATATTATCATCTGTGGCATGAAATGGTCTTAAATGACAGCACTATTGTTTATTGCTATTATTTATGGGAGAATATATCGTCCAGTAAAAGTGGTTATCCTGACAGTGCTAGTGCTGTAGAGCTTGTGAAGTTCCCCTCAGGTATAAATAATCAGTTTATCTTATCTAACCTATAATAATACATCACAATGTATGTGTTGAATATATTCTGTGATATGAAAGTAACTGAAGTTATCAGACAAATGTAATGGAGTAAAAAGTACAATATTTCCATCTAAAATGTCGTATACAGTAACACATTGTGGGATTACTCAAGTACTCAAGTACAGACAGAACCTTTTATATAATAAAAAATCTTTTCGGGGAGGAGCAGACATAAATACGCCTGCATCAGCACATAGTTCACCTTTTACATTAATGCATTACTGCAGTGCTGGTTGAGCTGATCAATACCACAAACTCTGCAAGGTCTGCAACAACAACCATGCATGAGTGAAGAAAACATCAGATTTAAAACATTTTACAAGTGTCAGTGGGGACGACTAAATCCACGAGACTCAAAATAAGTTCTGCAATCTGCAACCGAACTACAGAGAATACAGTCAGACAGACGTAATATTTACATGTAAACAGTCCTTAAAACTACTGCACACAATTAGATTTATGTTGCACAATCATTTATGTTTTGTATGTACACAAAAGGCAAAGTAGCCAAACATTTACTATATATTCAACCATAAAGTATCCAAAAGTAACTGAGTGTGCCATAAAATACAACAAATCATGCTGCAGTATACAATAATAAAGCACAGAATACTACGACATGCACCCAAAGGACCACAAACAGTGTGAAATAAAGGATTATAGATCATATAAAAGTACCAAAACTACAAGGTCTGTTCTTCTTTGTCATATCAATATGTAACACTGAACCACAGGACGTTATAACAGACATTTTTCAATCATTTTATTTAAAAAAGCGATCAATTAATCTAGAAATAATTGATCAATAGTGTAAATAGTGGTTGGCTGCAGCTCTAATGTATAATCTGTGTCATTAACTACAACAATCAGTGTCCCAACAACCACCAGAAATGACCTGCAAGTACCTAAAAACCACCTCAGAAAGTCACGAGTATATTCACTTATACTAGCTGGTACTACAGTAGCACAGTCGAAGTAAACCAACGCGCCACAAAGTTTACAAATTACATAACATGATGTGTAACTATGTAAAACAAAGCACCACCAGCAGTCCCTCAGAAGTCCACGATAAACCCGACAGCGCACGTAATCCTCGTAAAATGTGTTCAACCACACTACAGCCAAAGTGTCTTTGGATTAGTACCACCTTAAATATTAAATATTCCACACAATATAAGGAGCCATTCTTCAAATACGGCTTTCAGAAAAACCTTAAACTGTACATTTACTGTACAGATGTTCAGTTTTTTGTCTTTCAGGATATAATATTCTGAAAAATCTGGGACTTTGTGTTCCTGTTACGCCCAAAACATCAACACACAACACAACAAGTCTCCTAACAAACTTTCCCCCACTTCATGCATTCCTGCAATGCTTTCAAGTCAAACTTGGCTTCATACACGTGTGTGTGTGTGTGTGTGTGTGTGTGTGTGTGTGTGTGTGTGTGTGTTTCCCTCCTGTTCTCCCTGAACAGCTTGTTTTTTCTGCGTCGTCTCCCAGGACGGCAGCCTCCAGCTGGACCTCCACTGGTGCGAGATGGAGGAAATCTAACACGAGTACCTGCATGTGCTTGTGTGTGTTTGTTGGTGCCTGTTCTGCACGCACGTTAAAGTGAGGAGTTTGGCCTGTTCTTCCACTGAAAGCCCAAATAACAACCCTTATCAAAGCCCCTGAACTCACCGTGGACCTGGTTGATCTCTGAGTTCTGTGACAGGATTTCATCGGCCAGTTTCTGTGCGGTCGGCAGCACCTCGGTGTGATGCACCGTGATCAGGTACTGAACGAACTTCTGCAGCTGATCTCTGTTCATCTGGAATAGAGTCTCTGAGATGGGCAGGCGCAGCTTGACCTGCTCGGGCTTCCGTACCCGGTACAGCGAAAGCGCCACGACGTGGGCGCAGTAGAAGATGTCCTTGTTGCCGCAGCTGCAGGTTACCGCTGTGATTTTGCAGCGGTCGAAGCTGACGCTCACGTTGCAGACCAGCTCCGGCTCCGAGGCCGTGGCGGGTTCCCTAACTGTGCCGCTGAGGTGGAACCCTGCAGGGGGGAGAACAGAGAGAATATTTCCTGTTAATCATCTGCTACACTGAAGAGCTTTCATCAAAACTTTAAAATAAACACGCTTAAAGGACCAGTGTGTGGGATTCAGTGGCAACTAGTGGTGAAGTTACAGATTGCAGGTCAGCAATTACAGGCATGTAGGAGAAACTGTGAAACCGTGACTACTGTAGAAACATGGCGGACTCAACGTCTCATTCTAAGGTAACAAAAACACAACTGCAGAGTCCAGTGATGATTATCTGTGGTATCATCGATTAAAGCCGCTTTAAATGCCAAAAAATAAAAAAAGGACACTTGATTCTTTCCACTATGGATCGACCAATATGATTTTCCAGATACCGATTACTAATACTCAAATACTACTTTGAGGCACTTGTACTTGTCCCTGAATGTGGCGCAGCAGCCGTCAGTGTTATTGATATTATGTGTAACCAATCAATGAGTAAGAATATAAAGTAGTGACTACAGACAGACAGAGAAAGGCAGCTACGTAATAATAATAATAATAATAATAATCCGATCATCGGTCTATCCGTACTTTCTGCTCATGAAGAAACATCAAACCACCCTGGCAATGTGTTTCAACCTAACTTTGATCCGGTCGGGGGGAAAGTGCTGGCGGGGTGAAAACAGTAAAAGACCAGCGAGGGAAAGGACTGGGAGGCGAACGCAAAGACCCAAATATTCTCATTTCCTTTTCATTTCCCTTCCACAACACCTCCAGTGCTTACCTTACCCTGAACGCCTCCACCCTCTGACGGACTGACGGGATCGTTTCACCACAGGGAGAGAGACCCGCTATTGTACGGTGAACCTATGGCCCTCACACAAGCTACAACCTATAGGTGTCCGTGCGTGTTTGGAGAGGGGGAAACATAGACGGAGAGGCAGATTTCAATGTGGACATGACCTGAAAGTTACTTCTGGAAGCCATATTTCTTCAAGCTTCGGTATCTGACATGAAAATAAACCCCGATACAAAAGCTTTCTGATACCACACATGACCAGGCAACAGCAAAAAATACAAAAAAACCCAGACAGAGCAGATGGACGTGTGTCAGCAAAAGATGACTGTGGAGCAAATTCTTCATGACCACATTGCGTCAGCAATGGCAGGAAGTGGACTGACTGTGTGACTGGGTTAGTGGGTTACCAGTGATAACAAATGGTGTCATACATGGTGTGATTCACTTTATCATCCGAGTACATTCTGCACCATGAACGTTTGTACTGTCTCAGTTTCACTGTATGGGGGCACACAGTTCTTTAAATGGATAACGCTCCAGTGGTGGAAGAAGTACCTCTGACTCAGTCTCAACTTAATACTGATGCCTCTATATGACCTATATTAACACCATCAGACCATCAGTGAGAAGATTGGCTGTTTCTAGTTATTCTTAATGCCTGCACTCGGATTCCTCTTGAAATCAAGGAAACGAGGCGGCAGAAACACTACCACGTTCGTCCACAGGGGGAGCCAGAATCAACACAAAATTATAGTAAATGTTAATGCACTTCCGTTGGATTTTATCTTGCACATTGGAAATAACCTTAATGCGTCACACTGCAAACTCATTTTACTGTCTCTATTTTTATCTTTATTTAAATTTTTTACATTTACTACTTGGCAATAAACCTGATTCTGATGCAGAAATTATATATATTTCCTTCCAAATCATCAAAATATAGTTAAAAGTATCAATTTCTGATTCCATAATAATGTTTATTATATAATTAAATCAGGATTGTTGATGCATTCACGTGTTCATCACTTTAATGCTGCAGCTGCTTAAGGCAAATCTAATTTAAATGTATTTATATGACTTTATATACGGCTGGGTAGCTCGTGAATCTCCCCCTGAAGATCAATAAAGTGTTATTAATATAATAATATCATAATTTATTTATTTATGGATTAAATGTTGTATTATTAATCTGAATCTGGAAGGAAACTAAAGCTATCAAATGAATGTAGCGGAGTGAAAAGGTTCAATAGTTGCTTCTAAATTGTAGTGAAAGTACCTCAAAATGATATTTAAGTACAGTAGTTGAGTTAATGTACTTGTAACGCTCAACAACATACAAGACCAATTGTTTCAAAGGTGTGTGCAACCTCTAGTCTGACTGAACTCCAGACAGGTTTGACTGAAGTATTTTGACATGGACAACATTTTTTTGTGTAACAAGGTGAGAAACACAACCACTGTAACATGATGTACTTCTTGCATCATGTTGTCATGCGAACTGAGAGACTGTGCGGCTGATAAATCCTCGATGCCAGACAGTGACAGATGACAGACAACGTTTTTAGATGGTAGACTGAAGCAGAGAAAATGGAAAAAAGTTGCAATCACAAAAAAATCCTCTCTGTTGGGGAGTTTAAATCGACTGGGAGGAGACAGAAAAAGACAGAAACCAGTGCTGACACTCAACGTCTGATCAAATCTCTACTTTAAAAAGGTGTTACACGTGATTGTTGCAGTGCTGCTCATAGAGAGAGGTTTCTCATCCGGCTCTCTACAAGAAACATATTCCCAAAATATCAAACTGTTTCTTCAAACATGGTAGCAGTGACACAGAAGTAAAGGTTGCAAACTTTAGCTAACATTAGACTCCTTGTTCTCCAGATGGTACAGATCCCAAAAATGTCACATCATCATGATTTTAAAAGTGTTTATCATTAAAAATGTAAATTATGATGCAAAATGTATCACATAAAAGTCACAATATTACTTTTTCACCATATTACCAGCTCTACTTAACACCGTAGCTAACATGTCCTGTGTCTAGGAATGTAAAGAAACATGATAAAATCATATTATGAACCCAGTATTGTGAATTTTATTGAATTATTACATCCCTGCATATGTCTGATTGTCAGTTCTGCATCGAAATCAGTGAGCGCTCAGATCCTGTGACACCAAAGATTAATCTATAAAGAAATGGTGCCGTACAAATAGATCGACACGCCGCCATCGTTATCTATAGTACTTACATAGTGTCACATATTATCAGCGGTCAAAATACTGCACGGACATGGTAAATAAACTTTAAAGAAAGTCACAAAATCTGATTAAATTAGCATTTTTCTAAATGTTATATAAGTCTGACTAACGGCTCGATATGTGCAGAGAATACTATCAGCGCTGTTCACGCTGGAACATTAACTAGAAGATTGGATTTCCACTTTGCTCAGATGTTCTCATACATGTGACACACACCACATAGCTGACACATATCACCCCTGCTGGGTGGAAGAACGTTGTAAACAGAGTAGGTGTTTCTCTGCATATGTGGTGGAGCTGTGTGATATCGAACTGAGCAAAAAAAACAACAGAGAGGCTATAAGACCATGTCTGAGAGTGAAACTTGTGTATAGAAGTAGAGAAAAAACGACTTCTTAGTGCTGCTGTTCTTTTCCTGCTGAGCACTGGATCACACAACCACCAAGTCCACATCCTGTCTTTTTAAAACACACACACACACACACACACACACACACACAGACAGAGAGAGAAAGAAATGCACGGTGCTCTCCGCCTGCCCCAGTCATGCCTGGCCCACAGCTGAACTACTGACGTAACAGAAAGAGAGAGAGAGTGACTCGAGGAGCAGGAGGAGGAGGAGGAGACCGCTGTGCTGCTGGAAAAATCGGTATGCCCTCAGCTGAGAGTGTGTGAGTGTGTGAGTGTGCACATGCAGGAGTGTATGCTTGGCGGCGAGCCAAAGCCCTGAGCTCAGCATTCTGTAATGCACTTCCTCTCTCTGTGTCTGAGCTTCACAGCTTGCATAATACAGCGCCGAGCACTGCATAGCAACCAAACTTAACTCCTTCTCTCCCAACGCGGCGTGAATGACACGGTTTCCTGCAGGGTTCACGCCGAGTTAAATTTAGGCCCATGCAGAATGCAATCAAATACCTGTGTATCGCTCGTACCGGCCAAAGTATTAAAGCATGACGGACAGGCGGTGGGAGACGGATCGGTGTAGAAATATTATTATATCACATTTCTTCGGTACAGTATGTCCCATCATTCCCGATGATATAATTAGTGCGACATTCTAGGAAATGTTTGCTTTCTTGCCAAGAGTTAGATGAGAAGACTGACGAGTCTTCCACTGAAGATGGGACCGGGAGATAGTTAGCTTAGCTTAGCACAAAGACTGGAAGCAGGGGCAAACAGCTAGCGTGGCTGGAAGTCACTGCATCCGGCAAAGAAATAGTCACAGCCTCCATAAAACAATAACTTGCTGCCATTTGTGCAGATTAAACAAACAAGATAGAACATCTTTAATTTGTGAGCTATAGAGGTGCTGCTTTAGCAAACTTTGGACAGAGCCAGGCTAGCAGTTTCCCCCTGTTTCTAGTCTTTGTGCTAAGCTAAGCTAAACAGACATGTGAGTGGCTTCAATCTGCTCCTCAAACCTCTGTAAAAAAAAAAAGCCAATAAGGGTATTTCCTGAAGAGTGATTACACAATTGAAGTCGATAATTAAAACAGCAGTGAAAGTGTTTGCAGAAGGTCTGATGGTGACTGAAACTCCTGAAACAGCCTCCTGCAGCACAATCCACTGCCAACAAACTCCCTGTGTATTACACCATATGAAAACATTGGATAGGCAAGAGAACGTCTTTACAATATTTATAAATTAAATATAACACCTTCTAAGACTACATTCACAGACTTCTCAAAGACCTGCAGATACCCTGAATGCACCCGCCTGGAAGCCGAGGTTTAACACTTCACTAGCAATTAAGCCCGAGGTAGTCGACTTAAGCTGTCTCTATAGGATTCAGAGCGGAGGATGTCTCGGTGAGGAGGAGGAGGAGGAGGAAACGGGGGGGGTTTGTGGTTGAAAACAAGGCCAGGACGTTAGCCTGTGAAAGAGCAGTAGCTCAGCTCCCTACAGAGTTCAGTCTAAGGAGACCTTCATCCCAGGGGCTGTGTGCAAAAGCATAGCCCACTGAAACTGTGG